TTCAGACAAGAGTGCCACTATCCCCAGGGTAGACGAGAAGAGGACCTAACATACCAGATAAACGAAATTTTGAAGAAAAGGCTAATGATAAGATTACATAACACATTAGATTTGGTGTGTTCCTTAAGAACCTGTAAGCCACTCATCTGAAAGAATGGGGTCTATTTTAGAGGAGCTGAAGAATAGTTAGCTTTCATCTTGTGCCTTTGTTTTCTAAAAAAAAATTATTCTTTATTTTTTTAGCTCACCAAAGAAGTTCCAGGTTATGGCTATAACAACAAACTCATCTTGGCAATATCTGTGACTGTAGTAGTGATGATTTTGATTATAGTTTTCTGTCTCATTGAGGTAAGGACAACTGTTAATTCAGATTTTATCTTTATAATAGATTCAGAACCCACAGACTGAAAATCAAAGCCACTTTCCCGCCTACTACTACTTGATGTTCCTCTTCAGTCTGGAGGACTGGGATATGCTTTCTTCTCTTTTTGCAAAGTATATTCCAGGGAATTTTAAAGGAACCCCACTGACAGGAGATCTGTGGATTGTAACCAAGGCGACAAGCCATTAGACTGTTCTGAGACATTAAGTTTAAGCAGGCCAGAGTTGACATGATAGTAACATTTCTTCAACTCCAAATTATGTTGATTAGCTGTACTCACCAGTCACTCTCAGACTACCACTGATTTCTTTCCTTGGCTGAAATGATGAGAGAGAGAGTCTCCACCCTCCTGGAGCTATCGGTCATCCTAGAAAAAAGGACATGGCTTACAGATAAAAATGTCATCTTGTTGATTAATTAGATTTACTTAGCAGCTTTCTCCTCCACCGTGTAAGGTGTTATGTAACTAGGTTCAATTAAAATACTGCAGCTAAAATCCTGCATCAGACTCTTCCAAAGCATGTCCTATTTATAGTCGCCTGTTCCTGGAGCTTGCCTGTTTACCTTTTCTCCAATCCTATAATGACTCCTTACTTTTCCCAACAGGCAGGTGCTAAGGTTTTTAAAAGAATGATTTAACAAGTTGACAGTCTTGACTCTATCCTACCAATCCAACCTAATTTACCTTATCTACATTTTCTACTGTTGTGGCAGGCCTCCATTCCAACCAAAGCAGCCCCTCACCACACCCTAGTCACCCCATGCCCATTCCTGTTTCTGTCGGTGACTTTGCCCATCTGAAATTCCCTTAATTTGCTCTGCCTGTGGAAGTACCGTGAATCTCTCAAAAGCCAACTGAAGTTCATCTTTCTCCATAAAGCCTTCCCTGAATACTCCAGCGCTCCTGGTCCTAGTCCTTCTGTGAGATTTATCACCATCTCTGAGGGTCTACAGTGATGCATTCCCCTCCCCTGATAACAAAAATAAGGTAAACAATTTTTTAAAAGGCAGCTCCCCAAGAGAGAAACACCAAGGTCAACACATGGAGCAGAGCAGAGCAGAGATATGTAAGGATCAAGTGGCTTCCTGGTTTATCAGACCTGAGTAAAACCTGACTGGATATATTAACTGCTAAAGAGAAACGTGTCTGTCTTCAGGAAGGTTGGTCGGTAGTAAAAACATAGAAATGGTGAAGAAGAGCCCAACGTGGGCAGTGCCCATCCTAGGCTTGCCCAAGAGTAGGGACGGCACCTCAGGCAGCAGATGAAAGTCAGGCCCACTAGTGAGGCTGTGCCTGGGGGGGAGACGGATGGATCTGGCTACTTCAGTCCTTTCTGTTAAACACTGGATTCAGCTGGTTACTTTCCTTCTAATTCTCTTCTCACCAAATAGCCTTCTGATTGTGCTTCAGTGTGCCACGGAGGCCTGTGTCCATGGGAGGTAATTCCCAATCATGTAGACACAGATGCCCTATCTGTGGAACAGATATGTTCCTCATTGTCAAGTCATAACCTGGCATTCTGATTTTGATCAATCCTGGGGCATTGGTAAAGTGAGATTGCCTCTATAGGAAGAAGTGAGTTCGCTTTTGATGAGGACAGAGTCTGATTTCTGAGCCCAGGAGGCTAGGAACTGGCGTGGAGTCAGCTTACCAAGGTCTCCGGGAAGATAAATCCTTGGCCATTGTCCAGATAGTACCCTCTGCATCTCCAGGTGGCACGTGGCCTTTGGTTTTTAGGGAAGTTCTATAAATTCCTATTGCTGTTTTTAATTTCTTAACCTTGTGTTTGTATTTATGTGGTTTCATCATTTTGCCTCCCTCCTTTGATGATAAGCTTTTCGACGACAGAGACCATGCACTGTTTTTCCTTTAAGACAATAGTAGTGTTCATAGGAAGAGAGATGAGACATTATGTCAACTTCACAACGAGGAATAAGGCAGCCTAATATTTATTTGAAGTAGCATACAGAGTCCGGCAATAGACAGACCCATGTATTACTAGGACTTCTGAAATGTTACCTTTTAGTATTCAAACCAGCGGAAGAAAATAAATAAATGGTAATAGAACAACTGCTTCATTATTGGGGAGGAAAATAACAGCAGATATCCATTCCTCACCTTAAAACAAACATATTTCAGTAAATGTAAAAAAAGAAAACAACCCATAAAACTATTAGAAGAAAACAGAAGCAATATTTTTATCATCTGGTGGTGGAAAAGAGCTTTCTGACCCAACACCACAGGCAGAAACCTTTGATAGATTTGATCATCCTGTCTGTGACACCATCAGCAAACGTGGCACTGGTTTATGCCAAGCCTAGGAAGAAGAATTTTCCATATCTGATTTAATCCCCACAATCCTGTGATGACAATATTACCATCCCTCTTTGATAACTGAAAGAGGATGAGCTTAAGGGATGGCAGAACCCAAAGCAGAACCCCGTTCCGCCTGACTGCAGACCCTGTGCTCCGGTTCCACGTGTTCTGTCTCCTTAAAGATGAAAACACTGGCAAATATTTGAAACATTGAAATTCAATGAAAGCTCCCGAAAAGATTAATATATTTACTATAAAGAGAGTTTTATAAATCAATAGGAAGACCAACAATCCAGGGAGGGTGAAGGGGGCAAGGACTATGAATGATGGGCAAGGACCTATCTGCCAGTCCTCTCCTCACGCCTTCTGGGATGTCGGTCTTGTTAACGAGGCCTCTGTTTGCCTCTATGCTGTTTTCTCCTATGCTCTCATAACATTTGTTGTCATTTATATTTTTTAATATGTATAGAATCCGTTTTGTTTTTTGGTATGGTTGAGGTGAGGGATCTAACTTTTTTTTTCTCCCTACCTAAAGATCCAGTTACTTTAAAATCTTTTATTGAATGGTTCATTCATTCTTCACTGATCTAAACTACTATTTTTATCTGGACTCTTATCAATCCAGTTTTCTTTCCCTGTACCAGTATCACACTATGTACTTAATTCCGGTTGCCTTATAATAACATATTTTGATGTCTGCTAGGGTAAGCTCCTGCTCTTTGGTCTTCTTTTTCATACATTTCATACCTAGGCTTGCATATTTTCTCCACCAAATGTCAGCTGGCCAGTTTTTGTTAAAAAACAAAACAACTATCTTGAGATTTGAATAGGATTGTTTTGAATTTGTGGGATAATTCGAGGAGAACTGCCATCTTTGCAATATTCTAGGAACATGGTATCTCACATCATGTACTCATTTCTTAATGTCCTTCAGAAGAGTTTTAATGTTTTCATCTCATAAGTCTTACCCATTCTTTGCTATAAGTTCATTCCTAGGTACTTTATGCCTTTTATTGATATTGTAAATGAGATCATTCTTCCATTTGTTGATTAGTTATTTGTGGAATGTAGGAGAGCTATTGTGGTTTGCATGTTGAGCTCTTGATTTTGTATCTAGCCATCTTATTGATTTCTCATACTTCAGTAAAATTTTAGTTGATTCTCTTGGGGCTTTTAGGTTGTCCATAATTTCATATGCAAATATGTTTTGTTTCTTCCTTTCCAATACTTCATTTTTCCTATTGCATTGATTAGGACCTCGTCAACAATGATGAATAGTAGCAGGAATAATAGGCATCCCACTCTTGTCTTTGACTTTAAAACAATGCTGCTGCTTAGCTTTCTGGTAGATGCTTTTCTTTTCTTTTCCTACCTCTAAGAATTTTTATTAGAAATTACTTGTTGAATGTCATCTAAAACCGTCAATAAGACGTATTGCCAGCTACACACAAGATCCCAAGTTAGGTACAGTGGAAGAGTCATAGGACTATTAAGCAAACCGAATTCCTGTCCTCAAAAAAGTTACCATCTCACTGGCTAGGTAAGACTTAAAATACAAAGGAATGAATAAAGATTTGGAGGCAGTGGTCATCAAGATGGGTAACTGTGATCACGTTTTCTTCCAAAACAGATTTATTCTCACAGAACAGCATCCGAGGAAGGTAAAGAAGGAAGCTCAAGGTAAATATGAGTCTGGCAATTGTTAAAGTAGAATTTTAGAACTAGATTTTAGAACTCCTCTCGATTTCAATCCCCTTGTTTTACGCCCAGGACACCACCAAAGGCAGAAAGAATACTTATTTGGCCTAATGCTTTGCCTGGATCCAGCAAAATTAGCTCCCCAGCCAAACCTGAGTTAGAATGAGACTGGCAGAGAGCATCTGCTGTCACCAGTCCTTTAAAGAAAGAGGGTGGAGGTGGGGAGGTGTTGGTTCCTGCTGGTAGTGAGCATCAGGCCTGGCCGGAGGCCTTCTCGGGGGCTCTGGGGACAGGATAGGGAGGGCCACAAAGTCGTAGGCTAAGAGGGCTAGTCTTCAAGGCTGATGGAAGGCAAGATATATGGCTCCTTCCTGTAAAGTGGCAGGAAAACTTTTTCTTCCTCCTCCTCCTGGTTTTCGAGCCCCCACTCTCCATTCCCTTTGTCCAGACCCCATAGAATTGTAACGGGGAGAGGCCTTAGATAATAGTTTGTCTCTTCCTTTTATAATGAGGAAATGGAGAAGAAGAAAAGGAAGGTAAATTGCCCCATGGCCATACAGCTAGTGAGTGTCAGAAGATGGTTCCTTTCCAGTTGGGTACTCCTCCTCTGATTACGCTGTTCTTGGGCTGCAGGCTACATTTTATGTCACAATTCAGTACACACATGCCGTAGAGACGTAAGCAGTTTCTAAGACAAGCTTACTATACACTCTTTCTCTATAGTGTTTGTATTCAAAAAGAATTATTTTGTGTTTTAGTGCTAGTTGTGACCTTTAAGCTGATTTCACGACATACTCACTCATCAGGGACAGCCTGCAGTGTGAAAGTCAGGGAGCTAGGTATCTTTGCTGGTTGGACTCAGGCATTTTCTTGGTGCGATTCAACTTGCAGGATAAAGCAGCTAGAAATAGAAGCACCTCTCCTTCCCCCTCCCCAGGAAATGATGTCTATGAGACTAAGTGCATAGGAGACCAATGTAAAATACCTCCGGAGAGTAAGGTGCTTCTGCCGTGCGACTGCACGGTTTGTTCACTGCACGAGGGCACTTGGCCAAGGGCCCAGGTGAGCGGGATGAAAATCCTGCCTATACTCCATGCCGAGCCACATACAAACATCTCCGACATTGTGGGGCCATTACAGACAGACATGGGAAAATTCTGTAAGCCCAGCATGCATGGGATTATTTTCAAGATCCCAGGCCTGTGGTGATTTTGCTTCCTGTGATTATGGACAGAGGTGTCCTAATAAGACCAGAGATGCACATTGTGAGAGGCATGGGAAATGGTATGAATCACTAATTGTCTGCGTGTGTGTTTCCTCCAAGGGGCTTCTTTCAATCTCTGCTGCGGAAGAGACGCTCAACAGAAAGTGAGAGTCAGGTAAATCTGAGCAGGGTAAAGTCCTGTGGCTGGAGAGTGCAGGGGAAATGCAGAATGAACATCGTCCTTTCTGTTTTCTAGGAGGGCTTTTTCTGGAGAAGGCGGCCACTTTGGCTTCGGGACATGTACAGACCTCTCAATGCCACACGCAAGAAAAACATGGCACAGAAGCTGCATGACAGGGATTCTTCTGATGAGGATGAGATTTTCAACAAGGAACGGGGGTACCTGATTTACAATTCTTACCTCAAATGAGTAAATTATGAAAAGTTGAATTGTTCCTCTGCAGAGTAAAAGCCTTTGGTATTCTTTTCGCAGAGAGAAAAGTGAAGCCCCAGCAGAGAAGGCTCAGGCCACAGATTCCACCACTGAAGAGCTGGGTGACGAGAGCGAGACCCTCACCGAGATTGTCATCGAGTGAGCCCGTCTTGCCTCACGTCGCCTACGAAGCTTATGTTCTGATATTGGCTTCTCAGCATTGCTTGTAAAATACTTATTTTTCTCCTATTAAAATGTATGAATTCATAACCAATTCTAGCCATGTGGTAAGGAATTAAAATGGAACTAGTTAAACATGTCCATCCAGGGAACAGCGGCCACAGGCGTGAGGAGCAGGACTGAAGCTAGAATCCCTCGTGGGAGCCAGTGTACTTCCACAAGAGCAGTGCGGGCAAAGGAGGATGAGTAGGGGCGTCGTTCCCTCGTTTCCCTGATCAAATCAGTCTCTGGAAACTGGAAAACATATATTCAGGGAATGTAGACTCTTAAATCAGTTAGCAGTTTATTCTGGTGCTCTCTCCCCTGGCTATTCACAACACGCTTGACCTCCTGCCCAGAGAGGACCATCTATTTCTGGCCCCTCTCATAAGGTCTTTGGCGTTGCCAGAATATTTGGATCACTGAGACTAGCTCCACTGTAGGGCTAAGCCCTGTCTTTCTTCCCAAGTACTCAAACTCATGCACAAAATGTGTGCCCTGTCTTGGCAAGTAGAGGGTTCTTCACCCTTACAAGCCTGTGGATAATTCACATTGGGGTGTTTGGGGTTTGTTTTCTTAAAAAAAAAAAAAAAAAGAAGAATGTGTGAGAGCATTAATTACCCAATCTGCGGAAAAGGCAAAAATTCCTCCACTCCTGCGGCACCCGGGTGGTTCAGTTGGTGAAACATTAAACTCTTGGTTTCAGCTCAGGTCATGATGGATGTCCATACACGTAATTGGTGCTCATCACTGGGGGGCTAGTGGTGGTGAACGTCGGGGGCCAGGGGAATCGCATCACTAGCTTTCAGGTTACAGCTGCTTTCCATAGATTCAAAGCTGCTACTGCCACTCAACAGACTGCTGAGGTCACCACAACCCGCACAGTCCCAAGCCCGGGGACGAGTGGGGGAATATGGAGTCCAACGTGCACCCTGCACGTCTGCTACGGCAGAGGAGGAGAGAGTGGCTTCCAGCTTTTCACCTTCCAGATTTCACGCAGGTACATTTTATTGGCAGAACCCTGCTGTCAAGGGAATCTGTGAAATGTGGTTTGTGGGCTTCCAGCACCTGCAAAGAAAGGGATAGAAGTGGGTGTCAGGAGCCAACCAACACAATCCAACAAATGGGTGTGTGTTCAAGTCTTTCTAAAAGGGGGGTGGAGTCTACAAGGAGTAAGATGGTGGAGAGCTAGCTATGTCAGAAACCTAGGAAGGTGTCCTTCTAGCTAGGCAACAGGTGAGGTACCAGATACTAGATACTGATACATGCAGTCATCCCCAGAGCTGACTGGAGAAGCACCTGGAGTGGATGCTTAGTTTGGGCTCTGGAATGTTCTCATTGGAATGACAGCTGGAAAGACTATGGGCAATGAGGTATCTGAGGAAACACAGTCCTCAATCAAAAAGGCTGCCACAGAAAAGGTATCCATAGGGAAACACAAATTCTCAAAATATAGTCTTTAAACATCTAACTCAAACATCCTTGGGATGCTTCTTTAAAAGACTGATCCTGAAAAATTAACAGATTAATTAAATTTAAAGGCTGATCCTGTGCATCTCCCCTGTTGGAAATAAACCAAACCAGAAACTACTTAATTAGTCCAGACAGATCTCAATTAGTAATATAATACTGCAACAGTAGAGGGAATATAGGACTGTTGTAGTACAGTGATTATAGGACTGCAGTAGTACGGAAATAAGGGACGGCTATAGCAAAGTGAATATGGGACTGCTGCAGGAGAGGGAATATGGGACTGCTGTAGCACAGGGAATATGAAACTGCTGTAGTACAGGGATTATGGGACTGCTGTAGTACAGGGATTATGGGACTGCTGTAGTACAGGGAATATGGGACTGCTGTAGTACAGG